ATGTCTTTATCGATGTCCCCCTCCTAAACTTGTCATGTCTTTATCGACGTCCCCTTCTAAACTTGTCATGTCTTTATCGATGTGCTCCTCCTAAACTTGTCATGTCTTTATCGATGTCCCCTCCTAAACTTGTCATGTCTTTATCTATGTGCCCCTCCTAAACTTGTCATGTCTTTTTCGATGTCCCCTCCTAAACTTGTCATGTCTTTATCGATGTCCCCTCCTAAACTTGTCATGTCTTTATCAACGTCCCCTTCTAAACTTGTCATGTCTTTATCGACGTCCCCTTCTAAACTTGTCATGTCTTTATCGATGTGCTCCTCCTAAACTTGTCATGTCTTTATCGATGTGCTCCTTCTAAACTTGTCATGCTTTTATCGATGTTCCCTCCTAAACTTGTCATGTCTTTATCTACGTGCCCCTCCTAATCTTGTCATGTCTTTATCGATGTCGCCTCATAAACTTGTCATGTCTTTATCGACGTCCCCTTCTAAACTTGTCATGTCTTTATCGATGTGCCCCTCCTAAACTTGTCATGTCTTTGTCAATGTCCCCTTTTAAACTTGTCAAGACGTCTCCATTGATGTCCCATTCCTAAACTTGTCATGTCTTTGTCAATGTCCCCTTTTAAACTTGTCAAGACGTCTCCATTGATGTCCCATTCCTAAACTTGTCATGTCTTTGTCGATGTTCCCTTTCTGAACTTATCATAATGTCTTCTTCTATGTCTAATTCCTAATGTTTTTTTCCTAACTCACTAGAGCAATACAACATAAACTAGAATGTGAATTTGATATACTTTATGATCTGAAAATTGATTACAAAATTTGCTTTGAGTTGACAGAAAATTTTCTTTGATTCCCGATCTAGTGAAACAACAATACATTTAAACTTTTATGTACAGTAGTATCTGAACTAGTCATATTTTCATACAAGGGTTACATATAAACTACTGAAAAAAATGTGAATACTAGTGGCTGTATACATGCACTCATAAAGAAACGGGGGTGCACCAAGAGATGTCAGTTCTATCAAATTGTGAATACGGATTATTGTTATCACGATTTAATTGTGTTTGTCAGCACAACATTTTGTGTGAGTTGCTGAAACTCTGTGTGTCTTCTGGATCATTGTAACTCTGTGTGTCTTCTGAATCATTGTAACTCTGTGTGTCTTCTGAATCATTGTAACTCTGTGTGTCTTCTGGATCATTGTAACTCTGTGTGTCTTCTGGATCATTGTAACTCTGTGTGTCTTCTGGATCATTGTAACTCTGTGTGTCTTCTGGATCATTGTAACTCTGTGTGTCTTCTGGATCATTGTAACTCTGTGTGTCTTCTGAATCATTGTAACTCTGTGTGTCTTCTGGATCGTTGTAAC